AAAATTTGTGGTAAATGTTCTAATAAAAAATATGGAAGAAAAAAAAAAGAAATTCATCGATTCAATGTCAAGATATAAATAGCAACATATATTAAATTCCCTCTGAATAAATAAACAAGCGATTGAAAAAAAAACACTGATATTCCGAATTACAAAACAAAAATTCATTAACTTCAATTTTTTTAATGGAAAACATTTTTTTTTCCATCTGATCTTCACGCGGCTCTGGGGGATGAACGGTTGGGAATAGGGGTAAAGTATCCCAAACATTTTTTGTGTAGAATTTTAAGCTCTGCACCTTTGTTTGTCACGTTTTTGGACGTGCAGCGCGTTATTCACGAGTTATTTCGAAAAAACGGTTTTCAGGGGTAGTTTTTTGGCTTTTTCTACCCCCGCACAAACTTGGGGAACCTTAAATATGCGCCATTAGTTTCATATGCCCAAATCACAAATTGTATCAAAAATGGAGCCTGATTAGCAAACATTCGTATGTTAGACCTTCGTTCATTGGACTACTCCGGACTCCTTCGACGCCGGAGAGCCGTTCGGGGCTACTCCGCGCTTTTGAAAATTCATTCCTTCGCTCCTACTTGAAATTAAGTAATGAAACCGCTGTCATTTGTTGAGAATTCAATTCTCTATCGATCGGCATCGGTTTCATTCCTTCATCTTAATTAGGGTGGGAGAAATGAATTTTCCAATCGGGAGAGCCCTTCCGGGCTCACTCGACGTCGGAAAGCCGTTCGGGGTTTCTCCGCGCTTTTGAAAATTCATTCCTCCGTTCCTAACTGAGATTAAGAGATGAAACCCATGTCATTTATTAAAAATATAATTCTCAATCGGTAAGCTTTGGTTTCATTACTTCATCTCAATTAGGTAGGGGAGAAATTAATTTTTGAATGAGAAGAACTTGTTCGGAGTTACTACGCGCTTTGAAAATTCATTCCTCCTCTCCTAATAGAGATTAAAAAATGAAACCACTGTCATTTATTGAGATTATTATTCTCGATCGATTGATGTTGCTTTAATTCTTTCTTCGCAATTAGGGGGAGGGGGGAGAAATGTATCTTCCAATCAAGGGAGCCCCTCCGGACTCACTGGACGCCGGAGAGCCATTCGGGATTTCTCCGCGCGTTCGAAAATTCATTCCTCCGTTCCTACTTGAGATTAAGGAATGAAATCGTTGTCATTTCTTGAGAATTTAATTCTCGATCAATCGGCATTGGCTTCAATCCTTCATCTCAATTAGGGTGGAAGAAATGAATTTTCTGATCGGGGGAGTTCCTCCGTGCTCACTCGACGTCGGAGAGCCGTTCGGGGTTTCTCCGCCCTTTTGAAAATTCATTCCTCCGCTCCTAAATGAGATTACGAAATGACACCGATGTCATTTATTAAAAATTCAATTCTCAATCTGTAGACTTTGGTTTCATTCCTTCATTTCAATTAGGGAGGGGAGAAATTAATTTTTGAATGAGAAGAACTTGTTCGGAGTTACTGCGCGTTTTGAAAATTCATTCCTCCGCTCCTACTTGAGTAGGATAGGATAGAATTTCCCGAAGATTCCAAAAAGCTTCATTGTTCTTCGTGCATGAAAAATGGGGATCTTCGGGAAATTCCTTGCGATCGCAAGACTTTTACCGATTTATTTTTCTCCGTGTGACGTCCGTATTAAAGATCAAAAAATCAATTTAACAATGGGATAAATGGAGTGGAAAGAAAAACGTGAATATCTCGGAAATTAGATGCAATAAAATGGGCCCTTTTCACGTGGACGTACACATATAATTGGACTGAAATTCCTAGAAATTTTTAATTTGCAATGACGAAATTCCTTGAAATTTCCGTATTATGGCAACGCGATAAAAATTCCCAATAAGTGTTCTCGGAATTTCCGCAAAAATATAACTGAAACCTACAGACATCATTCCTGAATTTAAGACTTTCCTTTGATTTTCAGGATCATGTCACTAGAAATTTTTTACAAAATCGCTTAATTTTAACATTGCTTGCTTATTGCATTTCAGAAATGCAGCTGCCTAGAAAAGACACATTCGGTTCCTAGGAACGTTTTTTTTTTCTCGGTAAATACAGATAATAGAGAAATGTCAGAGTGGAATTCCCGGATTTTTTTTCACTCTCGATTAA